GCTAACATTAGCCTATTAGGTATAAAGTAAATGCCCTTCACTTCTTGTCCTTCAATAAAGTCAGCTAGTCCGCATATTCCAGTTTAAGACTGAAGATGTTTTATCGTTATCTCCCTTTTATCTCCTTTACCCAGGGCTAATCCTTATCTCATATATGGAAATCAAGCGGAACACTATGGCGATAGCCGTACTTATTGCCACATTGCCAGACAGTGTCCTGTCTGGCAATGTGGCAAAAATAAAGATAATATAAAACAACAGTTACTAGAGCGCATGATGAAAAGAAAATTATTAATACCTTTTAAGAGCTGCTGATGTTCTCAATGCTGCATTTCATACCTCTGCTAGGTCTAATGTCTCCAAAGACAATAAATCCTTTCTTTTGTTGCTTAAACCAGAAATCCAACTTATAAATACCCTTCTAGGTTTTAAGTGATTTGTTTTAACTGATTAGTTTCTTTGTTTGCTTGCAGAAGTCTTCAGAGAGACAAACCTTTGTATCTGAGCTAATCTCAGGACAAAACAGCACCAAATATGGACCCTTCTACTGCCCCAACGGGAACTCCAGGATAGAGTCTTGACTCAACCCAAATAAAATCTCCTATGACAAATGGACACGCAGTGGACTTGTCATCAAAGTGTGAAGTAAAACTTGAATTCAGCACTTAGAAAAAAAGAAAAAAAAAAACTTGCAGCAGAAGAAAATCGAATGAGCTTGTATATATTTCCATTATCTCTTAAAAGTATAACAGTGTTTACAAAGTGACGCAGACATCTGTTATTGGCTGTATCACTCACTGTGTCATTGTTCCCATTTCTGCTGAAAACTAGTATATGAATGGAAAGAGGTGATCCTGTGCTGTGAACCACGCTGACTGGTGTACATACTCCCAACATTTGAATAGTTTCCGTCATTACAGACGTTTTTCATACATAGTTTCTTGTTTTTACTGAGCATGGTGTTTATAATCAGCACCAGAAGGTTGTGTAGATCATGTGTAAATTGCTGTAACATAGTTGGTTAAATGGACCATTTAAAGCCAGCCTCTGTGTTTTCTTTTGGACTCAAAGTCGCTGTGTTTCCCTACAGTCAAAACCAAAAGAGCACATCATTCAAAACATGATATAAACCAAATATTACTTCAGTTGTGTTTCCCTCTATTGACCCTTAAATCAATTATACAAATTAAAGACCTGATTTATGTTGCTTAAATAAAGATAAACAAGAGAGCAACCCCTTAAACTTTTCTTTCCTCTTTTAATAAGGCTCTAAATGTGAATAAATGTTAAAATTAAATAACCTCCGTTGTTTTCTTGAAGAAATTTGAAGTTTTTCTGCCCTAAAATGACAAAATGTTAAACATTTTTCTGTAAAAAAAAAAACAACAAAGTACCGTTTGTATGATTCCAGCTTTGTTTCCTGGCACATGTCTGTTGATAATCCAAGCAGTGTGTGAGAGTGTGTGAGGTGTTAATAAGACCGCAGAATGGCTGACTGGTTTGCATGGTCTCTTTAATCATCTCTATTTCTCTGTGCTCAGAGACTATTTAAGAATCTGTAACTGTTGCCGGGTTGGCTGTGTTATCATGTTTTGTTTTTGTTTTTTTAAATCAAACTGAGGTTTGTTTTTGTGTTTATGATAATGGAAAGAGGCATATCTCTGTTGCTCTGTATCTCTTTGTATTCATGTGTTTTTTTTTTTGGCAGATAAAAGGACTCTGGGCATCAACCATGAAGATTTTCTTATTTTTAGATTCTAATAATGTGTTTGAAAATAAAGTAAGTGCTGCGCTGATGTGCAGTCATAACTTCAAATGTGTTAATGTCGTTTATCGTTGAAGAGTTGGCAGTAGCTTTATCTGACTGCGGCTGGATATTTGTACCTAACCTTACAACAGCTGCGCACATCACAGATCCTTAGCCACGTTTTATTCCTCTTATTAAGGAACTAAAGATAGCAACGATAAAGATAAGATTGACAATATATGTGGACTATTATATAATTATTTTTTCCCCATAGAGAAAACTTTACCTTTAATAGTGTGAACAATCTTTGCAATAATTCATAACGGTTATGAAACATTTGCACTGCACATATGAAAAAGGGTTTTATACTCCACTCCTCATTAAGAAAATAGTTATTTTAAAGTTACTTTAAATCCATAATGTTCCACCATTTTTGCTGAAACTCTATACTTTTAATTATTGGACCATTACAAAAAAATCAATAGCCCATATTATGCAGCTCTTAAGTGTAAACTACAGATCTTTAACGTCAAATATGGTTTACCAGTTCTTAAAATGGGCTTAATGGGAGTAATATACGTTAAAATATGCTATTTCTTTTGGGTTTAATAGGAATCTTGAATCAAATGACTTAAGTGTCGTAAGCTAGCAGGGGTGTAAAGCCATGTTTTCTTAGAACAAAGGGAAAAGAAACCTCCCTCAGTCCGGTCATATATTTCATTCTTTCAGGGCCCACGCTGATTATTGATTGACCTACTGGCATCAGGGGCAAAGGAACAAATCTGAAGCATCCAAAACAGCTTGAGTAAAACTGAAATGACATCAAGTTTGATTATTTTTCTTCAACTTATTTTTCAACAACTTTTCCTGTTTCTTGTATTACAATGTTTAATACTAATAAGAATACCAAGTAATAATAATTTAAAACTTTATTAAACCCACATGCTCCCAAAGGGGATGCATTTAACCCATCCCCTTTGGGAGCAGTGGGCTGCCACCGTGCGGCGCCTGGGGAGCTGTGTGGGTGTAGAGTCAACTCATTTAAATATTTTAATATTTAGTTAAAAACAAGAGTTAATACATACTAGTATTGAAATTAAAAGTCCAATCATAAATAAATAAATAACTTTTAGTAAATTTATGTTGTTTGTGTACGTTGGTTAAAAAGCTCATTAAAATGTAAGGTGGAACCTGTTTTTTGTTCCCCATGTCACGTTGTTGCCCATGGGAAAGATTGATTAACCTGTTTCTTCACCCGTTTCTTCAAGAAGTTTCACCAGAAAGCTTTAAGACTGGTTTTCTGAGAAAAGCTGTATAAGTTATCTTTATTCCTCTGGAGTTTATGCGGCCAATGAGGTACGACTTTGTTTTACTTGGACGCTTTTTTGTAAACCTTTATATTTGTTTTGAGCTAATTTGGGTTTCTGTTTCCCTTCTTAGTTCTGAAGGCATTTTTTTGGGCTTTATAAGATGTGTCCACAACAAATGGCTATTAAAACCAAAAGAGCGACGTTGAGCCTTGATTAAAAACATAAGCAATGAGATGTAGAAACTTGTGTCCTTTCAGCTTAACCTACCCAATTATGTCACAGCTTAGAGTGATGCAACATGGCGGCGACCTTGCCAAAAAAATTATAAATTTTTCTTTTCCGTTTATATTTTTCATGTGTGTAATATCATTATTAATAATAGTAGACAGAATCTTGGAATTCTGTTAGTTTGTATAACTGTTTCCACTTTAAATGTTCTCCCTCTCATAAGCCCAAGTAAAGCAAGATATCCAAATTATTTAGATTTTTATTTTAATGTTTCGTTCACCTGAAAACTGAAAGAAGGTAATTTTGCTCTTGCAGATAAGCAGTTATATGAAGTCATTAACTGCAGTTAAAATGACAACATGTGTTCTCTAATACATAACTGCAAACCTCTGACACACCATTTTTTTTTTACTGTTATAAAGTATAGAGGCATCAATATAAACAAAAAATTAAAATAAGGTTTAAATAAAATAAAAAATAAGGTGTGAACTGTTAGCGAATTTTCCTCTCCAGTGCTGTTGGTGGTCGGTTTGATGTCTTTTCTGGGAGAACCAGCCTCAGCCTCCTCCTGGGCGAGGAACCTCCTTCTTCTGACAGGTACTCCTGCTGCAAGAGAGCAGCTCCTCCATCAGCTGGGGAGGATTCATTTAGTTGGGTCAGATTAGAGGCTGAGATGTCCATCACAGACTCTCTTGCTGCCTTTATACTTTCCCCTGACGCTCCAACTCCAGGTCCCTCAGTGTGAGCCTCCCCTCTCTCAGACGCCATATTAATCGTAGACATGCTCTCTACTCTAGTTTCTGGTTCAGGAACCTGAGGGGTATCTCCAGACATCTGGTCATGTCCCTGTTCAGGAAGGCTGTCTTTGGTGGACGCAGCTTTTGATTCAGTGGTCGACTGAAATCTTCCCTTCCCAGAATGAATATCTGGATCCAGTGTTAGATCAAGCTTTAGTGCAGCTACAGGTGCAGAACTGTCCACCTGCATCTGGCTTTGATCCAAAGGAGCTGGATTATTGTCAGGGTTTGCTAAACTCAGAGCTTGATCTTCAGATTTTGAGTTTAGAGGTGGAGCAGGGTGAATTCCACCCTCATGCAAACGATCGGCCTGTGTTGTTTTAGCTAGAAGAACATGATTCCCTCCTGCAGGGTTCTTGAGCCTCTCTGTTGCACTGCTTGATGCTATGTTGAGCCCACTGAATGTTATGCCAGCAGCAATAGGATTAGTCAGACCAGCAGGGAGCAGTGGATTGGATCCCGAGGCCATAGTGTTCAGTAAAGCCTTCCCTGCTTGAAGAGGAAGGCTGCTGCCGGTTAGCAGTGAGCCAGCTGAGCCCAGCAAGGAGAGGCCTGTAATACGGTCCCTGTCAGCAGTATTGAAGGAGAAGGGATGCTGAGCACCACCCAAAGTAAGTCCAGCTGTCTGATACTGGAGAGGTTGCAGGTTTAGTGCCTGTGCAGAAACAGTGGTGCTATCAGTTGGCTGGGAGCTGTCTGGGTGTCTGTCCTTTTCCTGATCAGCTTCTAAAAGTTGATCCTTTTCTGATGAACTGCTTTTGTGTCCTCCTTCGTTTGTCCCCTCTGCCTTTTGGGAAGATTTCCTCCTCCTCTCTCTGCTGCCCCTTCTTTTTTCCCTAGATTTCTCTTCTCCTTCCTCCTCTTCTTCTTTTCTATGATGCCTTCTTTCTTTGTTCCTTTTGGAGGTTCTGTTCTCAGAGTGGCTCTGCTCATTTTTCTTCCTGGGATGGACTTTGCTTTTTTTTAGAGGGTTTAAGTTCAGTTTGACCTTCATGGAGCGACTGGACTGGACTTTGTGTCTCCTGTCTCTGTTTTTTCCATCGTCTCTGGGATTTGCTGCCACTTCCTCCTCCAGGCTTTCCTTGCCTTGATTGGTTCTCAGACTCCTCAGGTCAAACTTTACACGTCTTGTTTTTCGTTTTAGCTCCGCGTTCTTCATCTTTTCAGATAGCTCTCTCCTGAACCTCCTGCTCACAGAGTCTGTATGGTTGGAGTGAGCCCTCCTGTAAGTCGTATTTTGCTCAGGTGGTCTGTACGTCCTATGGCAGTTCCTGCAGTGTAAAATCTCGTAACCTATAGTCTGTATATCTTCATCAGTCCTGTAGCTGTCCATGTCACTGTCAGCCTTGTAGGGTTGCAGGTTGTCTGGGGTTTCTGTCAGCAAATGACCCCAGCTGAGATGTTGTTGCTGAATACCTCCTCCATTTCTCTCCTCTTCCACCATCACTCTTGATTTTCTCCTCTCTTGCTCATCCTTTGTCTCAATTCCTCCATTTACCCAAACTCCCTTTCTCATATGGCTTGGCATCTTCCCATTAGTGTTGCGATGGCCTCCGACACTGCCAAAGTTTTCTTCAGCCCTGGACCTAAACTCTTCGCTGTGGTGATCCAACATCATGGACTCTTTGTTCCATAGCTGGCTGCTATTGGCTTCTAATGAAAAATCCCTCCTCCGCTCCCTGCCATCAAGTTGATGAACGTGGTTTGCAACTCTTCTGCCTTCATCCCCTTCCTTCAGCCTTTGACTTTCTTTCTTCTTCATCCTTTTAGATACTTGGTAGCAGATCAAAACTACAAGCAGGGTCAATGCAACTCCTCCTGCAGAGAGACGGGACAGAAATCAATAGCAATTCACATCCAGGATTTCAGGTTAATCCTATATTTGTTAGTGAAGGTGATGATTTAGCTCACTCAAACGTTTTCACAGAGTAGCTAACCATTATTTTTGAAGCAAGGATGACCTTGATAAAAAAAAAAAAATCTTCCAAAAAAATAACACTGACACACATTTCTGTTTAAACAGTGGTACAACAGAGCATCATAGCACAATAATATCTTCCTATATCCAGGTGTTATCTACTTCCTATATTTTCCAATGCTGAGCATTAATTAAGAGTCACTTCTTATTCCTTATAGGGTTGCTATGGGATTAATTCTTTCTGTAGCTCTTGATAAGATGGACAGAGAGTGCCGTAAAGCTGTCTGTTTAAGCAGCTAATTATATATATTTTTTCTTTTCACCTATTCTAATATAGGATGTCTGGATATGCTGATTCATGTCTATGTCTTGCTGGTGGCTTCTGCAGCTGCACCTATTATCAATCGATGCCCATGTTGTTGCTTTGGCAAATACACGTTAAACATTGAATATTTTTATTGGTTTATTTTCCACCAATAAGCCAAAAAATTGGGGTTAACTAAAATTTGAAATCAAACATAAGAAGTCATGCTTTCCTTTTTTAGGCTAAAAATCTTTAACAACAATTGTAACTACACTTGCAAAAGCCCACCAATATTTTTTTTTCGCCATTACCACAAAAAAATGCAACCAAAGTGCCAGCACTGCTACAAATCTTCTTCCCCTTTCCTGATTCCACCTTTGTGAGAAGAACAACTTGTGTCTTAACATCAGTAAGACACTGGTAAGAAATGGTGATCGACTTCAGGAGAAAACACCCACCTCACTCCCCCATAAACATACAGGGGCAAGACATAGAAACTGTGGAGAGTTTCAATTACCTGGGTGTTCACGTCAATAAAAAACTGGACTGGACTCACACTAAACACCGACGCCCTGTATAAGGAGGGCCAGAGCCGCCTCCACCTCCTGAGGAGGCTGAGGTCATTTGGAATGAACAGGCCCCTGCTTAAAACCTTTATGATTCTGTGGAGGCATCAGCCTTCCTCTATGCTGTTGTCAGGATAGAAAAAGACCGAACAAACCAGTGAGAAAGGCCACTTCTGTCCTAGGCAGTGGAGAAAGTGGCTGAGAGAAGGGTGCTTTTCAAGCTTACACCCATCATGGACCAGCTTCCACCCTCTGCACCAGACTGTAGGGGAGCTGAGTAGCTCCTTTAGTGAAATAATTTAACACCCTGTGTGTAAAAAAGAGCGCTACCGCAGTTCATTCATCCCTGCTGCAACCAGACTTTACAATGTGACATTACAATCGCAATAACTTGTGCAATGTAGAAATATAATGTATAATATGCAATTACTATTTGATACCTGTTTTTGCTATATTTGACACCCAGTACAAATAACTATATATATAAATATAAACATCCTTCTATATAAATACCCATGTAACATTCCTAGTGCAATAACCCTGTATAATAATGCTACTACAAAAAAAACCCCTCTATTTACTGTATATATCCCATGCACCTTCTTTTTCTCCTTAATGAGTACATTTCTCCACTGTGAGATCAATCAATCAATCAATCAATCAATCAATCAATCAATCAATCAATCAATCAGTCAGTAATATATTTGCTGACCTAGGAAGCAGATGACTGCAGTGATAGCCAGGTCCCGGGCGTACCGCTTAGGCGTCACGCTGCCTCTTGCCTCCAGCTGCACAGTGATGTTCTGATTGGACGGGATGCAGTTGGCTTCAGTCAGCTCCAGCACCGTAGTCACAGCCGGATTGTCTGCACTCACACACACCATCCGACGGCCATTGTAGAGTGTCTGAGGACAAAGACATCAATAGAGATTAGGTCTTACGATACCCGTGGTCTGTGATGTTTTTTTGTATGTATGGATAGGGGGAACTTGGACCTTGTCTGGTTCCTGAATGAAGTTTGACAGGACGGCGGCCAGCTCTAACAGCTCACATGTGCAGTTCCAAGAATTGAGGTCCAGGTTGAGGTTTGACAGCCACACAAGGTAGGAGAAAGCCTCAGGAGGTACAGAACTCAGACGGTTTCTGGAGAGATCCAGATTCCTCAAGCTAACCAGACCTCGGAAGCTAAGAGGACAAGAAACGAATGTGTTTAAAATATGAATTAAACTCATCTCTACCAAAGAGAAAAAATGTGGTGTTATTGCCTTACCTGTTTCTGTTCAGAAAATCAATCAAATTATCTGAAAGATCCAGAGTTTCCAGACTTCTGAAGTCGTTCAGAGGAAAGGATCCGGGATCCAACCTGGTGAGCAGGTTTCCCTCCAGCTTCAGGCTGAGCAGAGCCTTTGTGCCTGTAAACCAACCAGCCTGTATCTGCACACCAACACAGAGGGGGGGAATTATTTATTCAATAATTCAGCTCAGTAATGTGTTATTAAAGCCAAACACAATGCAGTCTTCACTTTCAGTCACCATTAAATAAAATATTTATTTCACCATGTTGATATGGTTGTGGCCCAGTGCAAGAACTTCTAGCTGGCTGAGGTTGGTCAGAGCTCCAGCCTGGAGAGCCTGGCTGGTCAGGAGATTGTGGTCCAACAGTAAAGTGTGGAGGAAAGGGAGGTTTCTGAAGACATCTTCACTAAGCTCTGAGATTTGGTTGTTACTTAGACCTGAACACACACGCACACACAAAACATGCAGATCGGAAGGTTAGTACATCCTGGACATTGTCTAAGTGTCATTTTTTTATTATGTGTCAATCATAATAATGAAATGTTTTGATATTTGATGAGATGGTTCAACACAAGGTAGGGAAAATGATAATGTCCATTCATCTTTGCCATATAGCTCACAATAGATTTGACAGAAACTATCAATAAACTTAAAAAGATTCTTGATTCACCTAATTTCTAGAGTTTTGTTAGGCCATGTTAACTGTTTGCACCTGTGGCATTGTTTTTGGTGTCTTAAACATCTCCAGGCGAAAGTATTCAGTCCCCTTGAGCTTTTCATACTTTTGCCACATTTAGGTTTCAAGCATAAAGATATAAAATCGTGTTCTTTTGTGAAGAATCAACAGCAAGTGGGACACAATCATGAACAGGATTTAAATTTATTGGGTATTATAAACTTTCTTAACAAATAAAAAAACTGAAAATTGGTTGTGCATTATTATTCAGCCCCTTTGAGTTAATACTTTTGCTGTGATTACAGCTAGAATATGTCTATCAGATCTGCACATCGAGAGAATGAAATTTTTGCCCATTCTTCTTTGCAAACAGCTGGAGCTCAGTGAGGCTGGATGGAGAGCGTTTGTAAATAGCAGTTTTCAGTTAATCCCACAGATTCTAGATCAGATTTAGGTTTGTCTTTCTAACACCTGGGTATCTTTACTTATGAACCATTCCATTGTAGATTTTGCTTTATGTTTTAGATCACTGTCCTGTTGGAAGATAAATCTCCGTCCCAGTCTCAGGTCTTCTACAAACTCCAACAGGTTTTCTTCAGGGATTCTTCTGTATTTTGCTCTATTCACCTTCCCATCCATTTTAACCATATTCCATGTCCCTGATGAAGAAAAGCAGGACCAAA